TCACGAAAATCGATAGGGATCATCTTCATAATGACATTGACACACAAAATAAAAATCAAAAGAATTTGTAAAAAATTGTAGTCTGTAGAGTGAGCACGAGTTGCACAATATAGCTAATAGAGAAAAACGTCAAGTCAGACACGATATTTCGGTGAAAAATTATCCGATCATCATGAAAATCAATAGGGATCATCTTCATAACAACATTGACATACAAAATAAAAATCAAAAGAATCCATAAAGAACTGTAGCCTGTAGAGTGAGCATGAGCCAAATGTGAACGGATGGACCGACGGGGTGATTACATATGCCCATCTTACGTGTGGGCGTATAAAAAAAACAGGACGAAAGTTTGGTTTAATTTTAATTAAACTGTTGTAGACTCCTACCTCCAGCCAGCAGAGCAACTAATATAATAGCACAAGACCAAACATCTGATGGTTCAGCATGGTATGGTTTCTTACTTAAAACTTCAGGTGCTATATACGGTACTGTACCACAACATGTCTCTAATAATCTTTCTGAGCCTTTAAATCTAAATACTGTCGCAAAACCTAAATCTGATATCAATAAGTTATCTGAAATACAAACATAAATACTGTCACAAAACCTACATCTGATATCAATAAGTTATCTGAAATACAAACATAAATACTGTCACAAAACCTACATCTGATATCAATAAGTTATCTGAAATACAAACATAAATACTGTCACAAAACCTACATCTGATATCAATAAGTTATCTGAAATACAAACATAAATACTGTCACAAACCCTACATCTGATATCAATAAGTTATCTGAAATACAAACATAAATACTGTCACAAAACCTACATCTGATATCAATAAGTTATCTGAAATACAAACATAAATACTGTCACAAAACCTACATCTGATATCAATAAGTTATCTGAAATACAAACATAAATACTGTCACAAAACCTACATCTGATATCAATAAGTTATCTGAAATACAAACATAAATACTGTCACAAAACCTACATCTGATATCAATAAGTTATCTGAAATACAAACATAAATACTGTCACAAAACCTACATCTGATATCAATAAGTTATCTGAAATACAAACATAAATACTGTCACAAAACCTACATCTGATATCAATAAGTTATCTGAAATACAAACATAAATACTGTCACAAAACCTACATCTGATATCAATAAGTTATCTGAAATACAAACATAAATACTGTCACAAAACCTACATCTGATATCAATAAGTTATCTGAAATACAAACATAAATACTGTCACAAAACCTACATCTGATATCAATAAGTTATCTGAAATACAAACATAAATACTGTCACAAAACCTACATCTGATATCAATAAGTTACCTGAAATACAAACAACACAAATGTTAAAAAATATTCTGTACTAAAGGATAAAGATGTTTTACAAACATGAATAACA